TATCTTTTTGCTTTGTCTTTCAGCATTTGTTGTTTTTCTTGATGCTTTGCTTTAATTGTGCAGTTTGCTGCCAGGTGGTCTGCGGCACAGCAGATTGCACAAAGTTTTTCTTCTACTTCATGCCAGTTGAGAGATGTTTCTCCCAAGTAAACCTCACAATTCTTGGCTTGCATTTTGGCTTCTGCTGTTGTGAAACTGAGAAAGGCAAACCGTTTCTTAGTGTAGTTTCGATTACGAGGAATATGGCAAGTTGCTGCCTTGGTGATACTGATTATGTCACGCAAGTCATATCCTGTGGTTTCAGGGGGAAGGTTGATGAGTCTCAGAGTGTATCTGTCTTGTGCTTGTTTAGTTTCACATGTTTTCAGGAAAGGATATATTCTCAGGAGTTCTCCCTTGAATGGGATGCTCCATCTTATGCTAATTTTGTTGTAATCTTCCTGTTCTGCAAATTTGACTAGTGCGCATTGCCACATGCCTGCAGTATTCATTTTGAGGTTCTTAATTTGCCCGAATTGGGTGAGTTTTTGTCTGATCTCTTGTTTATTAGTGTTAAGGGGAATGTCCCAGACACGGATTGACTTGCTCTTGGCTTCTTTTAGGTCAAGATTGGCCAAGATGGCTATACGGTGGTTGTTATTTTCTTGGATTTGTAATTTGCATATTTTTTGTGCATCTTTTTGATTGGCAAAAGATACGACGATCAATTTTTCCCTGTTGCTGCGCCACACAGGCGCCTATATAGGAGTCAAGTTGAGAGACTGTTTCTTTGACTGCGTTAAGTTTTTCCTCCATAGAGCCAGCCAGGTTTTCCACCTGGATGGCTGTTTTGAAGCGAGAACGGCTGTATTAGGTGCGCCAGTCTGTAGGCGGCCCATAGGGGTGTCTGGCCGGCTTGGGTGGTTGGTGCTGGGTGGGCGGGGCGTCCTCTGCCTCACTCTCTGGGTTTGTAAACGTTGGGTCCTCATCAGAGTCACCAAAGGTGGGCGGGGTAGGTGCCCGAAGTGATTCTTCTGTCTCCATGCGGGTGTCGGCCGTCCAGTCGAAGGAGGCCTCTATCCCCTCCTCTATGGTGGCTTCCCAGCCGGGTGGCTGGCTGCTGCCTGCTTCGGGTGCTGTTAGCTGCTGTTTTTGCTGGGTTTTGGGCGCTGGGAGCTGTTGTTGGGTGGGAGCAGGTGAGCCCTTGCTCCTGGAATTGCTGCTGCTATGTGATGCCATGGCGGATGGGGCCTTTGGGTGGACTCCTGGCTGATTACTGCGGATTTTAGGCGAATCTGGGTAATCAGAAAAGAGTTTTTTTTTTGTTTTTTTTTTTTTTTTTGTTTTTTTTGTTTTTTGAGTTAAAAAAACTTTATATTATACAATGCTTTTTTATTGATATAATTTTATATTTATCTTTTATTTTAATTCCTGAATTAAAAAATTAGATTTTATATTTGATAAAATAGATCAAGTTCAAAATTTATTAAAAGATAAATATAATAATATCAAAATTAATAGACCAATAACTTTAATAACTCTTTATTTTCCATTTTAACTATTATTTCATCTTTTAATTTTATATTATTTACTTTTTATTAATGAACTTTTTTTAATATTTTTGATTGTTTATTATCTGATAATACTCAAAATGAGCTTGAAGAATATTTTGTTATTTCACAAATATCTTTTAATTCAAATTCTTTTTCTTGATAAAAAATTAACAAAGAAAGATTTCCTATAGTAAGTGAGTTAGCATGTACAGTATATATTTTTTAGTTTCAGCTACTTCAATTCCTAGTGAAAGACTATTTCAGATTGTGGAAATTTGATAGATTCTAAAAGAACATGTATTAGTCCAGAATTTTTTAAAAGAATAATGTTTTTAAAAAGAAATTTTAATATTTTTAGATAGTATTCATTCTCCGTTAGATAATTAAAAAAATTTTTTATATTATACTATAGGTTATATTATACATTATACTATTTATATCATTTAGATAGTTAAGTCTAAAATTATATCAAAGGTGGTTTAATTTGAACTGAGATATATTTTTTCCTTTTATAATATAAGTATATTTTTGCTAATATTTGTAAAATAAATTTATATCAAAGATGTTTTAATAATCTAAATTGTATTTTTTATATTGGTAAATTTATATTAGTAAATTTATATTAGATGTTTAATTAATTGAGTTATATTCTTCGCATTAACAATTATTAATCAGTAATTATATACGGAAAATCATATTTGCTTACAGGAAAAATTTTTTCATTATTTGTAAAGAAATTCATATCAAAAGTGCTTTGATTGATCTATTGTTTTCTTTACTCTTACAATATCGATTAATTTGCAAATCACGTGTTTTTGGCGACATGTATGTCGTAAATCAATAGATAATTACAGACTTTCAATAAACAAAAAAAGCTTGGCTTATTGGGAGTTGACCAGTATAGTGTTTAAGCATATACTGTAATTAGTATCAGATTTGGTCAAATTCAGAGTTGTTAAGTAAATTAGAGAAAATAAAAAAATACCGTCAAATACGTATTAACTAGAAAATCAACATATTTATATGTAATATACATTAGTCTACTTCTTTAAAATTTTACCAGAACTAAAAAACTTGTTAGATCATTCGTTTATTCGTAGGGATATCCGGATTAATAGAAATTCATATACGGATTAAACGAATGACGATCAAAACAATACGGATCACATCTCTAGTCACGGGTACATTGGAGTCTAAAGCTGACACATTGATGGACGATCTGTTTCATATCGCCGACTTGAATAACTGGCCCTTGAAGTTAGTGTAAGTAATTGTAGGAAAGCATTGCTTGTGAGGTGCTTAATTTTGCTAAAAGTTTGTATCTATCAAAACCGAGAAACCATCCGTTATGTAGACTAGTCATTAAAGAAAACCAGTTTATTTCAGCGGACCCCGAATTTGTGATTACTTATCGAAAATTAGGCATAAACTGTATTAATGTCAAAAACCTTTTAACAGGACAAGCATATAAAAAACGTTTATGCACCAAGCGGTTACGGAGAAACACAGATTGTTGTTGCCTGCGGAAATGAGAATACACGTGCCACTAGTCAAGATGAACTTAATGATCAAACCATATTTACTATGCGCGTCTTCTCAAAGTACGTGACATTTTACAAAGCATTCATCCCTGCAAAATATTGGTCTACCCAAAGAGACATCAGTAAATGTTCAAAGATGGCCAGGGCGGAATGGTAGGTAGGAGGGTCCGGATTTAGTGGAACCAGATGGGAGACGAGAAGTGCAGGGAGCATTAACTAAATTCGCCAATTTCTTCTACGGAATGAACGTACAATACGACGAACGATAATGCAGACAGTGATAAAGAAAAATCATCGAGTTAGTGCGGATTAATTATGCTACGCATGTTATCTACTGTATGAATAGGGCGTATATTTGTACTCTCATCTTTAGAAAATTAATATGTATGCCTATAAAATTAATAAAAGCACGATTTCTTTTTATCGAGAGTGCGGAATAAGATAATATTTGATAACATATATGCCGTACGAAAAAATAATGCATTCGATATTCATTTATTTCTTGAACGTTACAAAAAATAACGTACACAAGCACTTGTGTAATGATAAGTTTAGATTTACTCTATAAGACCCAATTCCCGAAAATGTTCTGGGATAACTAATGATTAATTTTTAATTAATAAAGTTATTTTTTAATTTTAGAAAATCAATTTCATAAATATTAATAAAAATAAGTAAACTTTATCCGTAAACACAAAATTTCTATATAAAACAAAGTAATATACTATTCATACATATACGTACATACAGAATATTTATCCCGTTTTAACGTACTGTATATAAAGTTGGTTATTATTATTATTATTATTATTTGACCCTCTTGCATTCTCGCATAATGCTTCCGGAAAAAAAACGACCTTTGATAAAATTTACTTTTAAAATCGCACGATTATATTAGAATTTTTATTGTATCAACATATTCATATTAATACTCCAGATGTTTTTTTTAAAAAATAAAATTTAACATAATATATCTGTAAAGATCATAGTTTCAACTTTCGAACGCAAGCAAATTAAAAAGAATAATTATACATGGGTATCCTTAGCTGCAGAAGTGATGAGCTGGCGCGCGACACGGCATAATTGCAGATGACAACGAAAAAAAATCATTTTGTGATAGAAGCTTTAATGTGATATATTATTTATAATAAATCACCGGGACAAATTAATTCATCGCAAAGAGGTGAACCTACAATATATACGTATAAAATGTATTATTTTTAAGTAAACAATGTGATTTGAGAATGAGGTTAACACAACCTCACCTTGAACACGTGTTTCGGCATATTGGATCGGGAATATTAAAACTTTACTTATGCGTGCTTTCTACGTCTAATATTTATCCTGAGTTAATAGATCAAAATATTCACACAAACAAATACAGTACGTGCTTTAATAATCTTGTCAACTTCCTATTTTGTAAAATAATTTCTGCGGATTGTTAATCACAAGATACACTTCATTGTTCTCTCGAGGAATTTTTTTTTTTTAAAATAGACAGAATAAAGACATATTGCACTTTATATGATGCATACATATGCATATTAATATTGGATTTTAGAAAATGCGGCATAAATTATTTTTTCTTCCTCTGTTTTTGATTGTTTATAAATATTTCCGCACGCGACCCTCTTAAAATGGTCATATGCTGCGTTGTCATAGTTCAAAAAAAAAACAAAATCTCTTTAGTATCAAATGTTATTGCATTATATCCACGATCACAATGTCGATATCGGAAAAAAAAAAAGTCATCTGAACATGTGTAAAATCCCCTGAACGTCAGTTAATGTAATCTTCCCGAGTGCGTAAATTCTGTCATCCGAATTACACATTATTCTCATGACTCAATATTTATTTATTATGCATATGTAATTACGAGGGTTAATCATTCTATTACTATAAAAGGACTTCATATACTGATTTGATTTCAATTATTTCCTTTAACCAAATTTATTAAACCACTAATCTTATGAAACTCTAGTACGTCTTTAACGTCATCTGATAAATTATCTCCGACAATAAAATCATATGGTTTTTTCCTTAATCTAGTTTCACAACCTTTCATAAAATTATTAATGGCTTCCTTTGTATAAGTCCAAAAAAATAATCCCAAACTGAGGATTTTCAAATTAAAGGGAATTATTGATACCAAATCATACAATAACAATTCACTAATATCTGCTCTCTCGATCGGATTTCCGAGCAAATAGATTTCCTCAAGAAATGGACACTTCTCGAACAGCATTGGAATCTCGCTGATTGACTCGTTTGGAATTTCTAAACTGAATTCAACGAGTTTCGGACAATTATTTATGATCGTGGTGAATAATTTTGACGAATTCTCGGGATCTACTGGATTAGAAACTATTAAATTAACTATTCGAAGGCTCCCTTGGGTATTCTGAATTAAATAAATAAAATTTTGGATACACTGGTCTTTAAGATTAATTTCGAGCTTGGTGAGTTTGGTTAAATTTGAATTCAAAAAATTATCAAAAATCTCCGGCCGACGGGTTTGCGATGGCAAGGAACATTGTAACCGATTTTCTAGATAATTTCTTAATATCTGAACTTGAATTGCATAAGAAATGGCCACAGCTGATCTCTGCACATCCACAATCTTTGTTGTACCTGATTTTCTCGAAATTTGGCGGTGCGATAGAACCGATTGATTACCATCTGAATATTTGCTTTGATTTCGCGATTGTATTGTGATTATTCTTGTTTCGACAAGTCGTACTAATGAATGTTGTGTCTTTGCTTGTGAATAGGCCAAAATCAAGTTTAGGGAAAGACCATCGGGAATTTCAGGTAGTGAGTAAATCAGCGACAACTCTTCAAGATTTGTGAACTGACTAAAAACCTTCAGAGATTTATTCAGTCTTCCACGGATGTTGACTCTTCGGAGATTCTTGGAATGTTTCAAAAGCACCGAATCGATTTTTGGTATATCATTGAATCCTGTGATTGTCAATTCACGTAACCTCAATTTGTTATTCATTAATCTTATGACGTTCTCCCCGTCAATTCCTTGGTGGGCTTCTAGACTTACAAGTGCACTTGACTTTTGGGATATGACGTCGGCCAACTCGGGTGGAATTTTCTCTATATAAATTTATAATTCATAATAAATAAATGCAATAATAATGACGCCACGATATATATTTACACTTACCTCGATAACAAAACCTTTGTAGGTTTGCGAAAAACGTGTCTGCCTCATGTAGAACCGGTAAATCTATATAATTTCCATTGTCTGCCTCTCGGTATTCAAGTGATCTTAGAGATTTGCACTGAATGAAAAATAATTCACATAATTCTGTGAAAATCAATCGCGAATTATCTCCAACGACTTTCCTCTTTTCGACGCCTAACGAAAGTAAATAATCAATAGATTTTATGACCGTCATATAATTCAGACTATTCAAGAAGGATGTGTATTCAAATGTCGGTCTTGATGAAAACTCAATTGTGAGATTTATCCCAGCATTGTATAGTCTGGATTTAGATTTTTCTGGCAGACAAGAAAGATATGTTTTCATAACAGAAATCGTTTTGAACCGACGGCCGCCATAATAAACCCATTCTAGTGGATTCTGCCATAATAATGTCACGGCATTCCGGCACCATGTGCGATTGACCAAGGTAGAAGAGTATAAAGACCCCACGTCAAGATTTTTAAAAATTTCCGTGCAAAGCTCTGGAGGGAGCGAAAACACCATATTATTCAAGCGTAATGAATAAGATCGATGGAAATTATCGGATCTCTATTTCATTATCTATCTAATGGTGCAACGTGTTACAGAATTCATGAACTTAATCATATTAGATAATATAATGATTTTTTATATATTTTAATTAAATAAAATTATAATACTGTATTAACAATATAATTATTTTTTTTATTTCCTTATAATATTTAAAATACAATAAATATTTTATAAAATATTATATATTTTTAATATTAAGTGAAATGTTTCTTATGATATTTATTAAATATAATAATATTAAGATATTAAGATATATTACTATATACAGTATATTAACCTATCAATATTTTAAATATATTTCTAAAAAAAATCTTGAAACAAAAAAAACAAAAATAATTATTTAATTTTAAAAAACTAATAAATCTTTTATAATTTATTTTATCCTATAAAAATATAATTAGATTTTGAAAAAATATTTAAAAAATAATATTAATTGATTTGTTATTATTTTTTTTTAAGTTTTTTATTATTTGTTATAATTTTTGTTTTTGTTTATTTTTATATATATTATATAATTTATTTGCTTTTTTTTTTTATATTTGATATTTTATAAGATATTCAAATATTTTTCTTCAATAATTATTTCTTTTTTGAGGGGGGCTAAGTGCGATACATATGTGGCTTTTATTAATTATATATTTTTCTTCAATAATTATTTCTTGATTTTGAAATCCATATATATATATAGAAATTTGAATATTTTTTTAAATCTTATTAATATTTTTAAGATTAAATTGTATTGATTTTTTTAAAAAATATTTTATTAAAAAATATTTGTTATAAAATTTATAATATTAATATTAGTGTTTAAGTTTTTATATTTATATTTTGTTAAAGTTTTTATTGTTTTTAAATTTTTTAGTATAATTAAACTTTTTTTAGGGAGGCGCCAGAAATCACGTGTTTCTTTAAGGAGGGGGGGGGGAGACCAAAGTATCACGTTCTATTTTTTATTAATTAATTATTGCTCAAATTTTTTGAGAAATATTACATT